TTTTCTTTTCATTAAAAATTAATGGGGGAGTTTGACTTGTGTTTAAACAATGCATAAATTGGGTACCCTAATAATATAATAATATGTTATGCCTCATCATTTTATTTTTTTTCACCCTTTATTGTTACACATACATTTTTAAAAATTACTTTCCTATTATTTGGATTTTTTTTTGCTTCAGTTTTTGTTTTTATAAATTTTTTATTTAAATAAGATCATTTTCTAAAAAAAAAAATTATTAAATACATGTTATAAATTAATTTTCAACTTAAATATTTTATATAATACATATATTCTCAGTTAATTACTTTCTCGTTTAAATAATTTATTAAAAATTTTAATGTCTGTTAGATTAATAATCATATATATTTTTTTTTATGGGCTGTAAATTATAATTAGTTAACAGTGGAGCAATTTGCATGATGATGAAAATACGCAAAAGATTATTTTACCAAAAAGAGATACGTAAAGATTAGAGAATCACAAAAAATGTAGAAAAACACAGCACGTGTAGACAAGCGGTGGGATTTTAACTTAACAGCAACAAAGATCCATCTAATTAAGAATAATGAAGATCTTGTTGCCTCCACCATTTTTTGTTACCCAAACCATATTTCCAGGTGTTGTAAGTTTTTTGTTACATATAAATTTACTAATTAATATATTTCATTATTGCATATTTTTAAGGCTTTTTATTATGATTTTACTGAAATTTTCATTTAATAAAAATACAAATGGTTAAATAGTAATGGATGTGTCAGTGTTTAGACCGGTGAAAATCGGTGCATTTTACCCTTTTTGATGGTGCCGATTAACGAGCCATGTCGGTAATTTCCCCATACGGATTTGACGGCGTTGACCTGCGGTCAACTCCTTCCTCGATCCCGACCATTCGCCGGCTCACATCCCAATATTTTGACCAATTTCTCGCGATACGATTCATTGATACATTACGTGGCCCCTCATTTTTTTTTTTTTGTTTTTTTTTTTAAAAAATTTTAATTTTGGATTAATTAGTGGTGGGAGGAAAGTGGGATTTCAGAATCTGAGCGTTGTTAAATAAGCCCTTGTCATTAAAAAAGCAGATTGCGAGGATTTGTTAGAGAGAGAAGGAAAGATTTGATTTTGACAGAGAAAATTTGAAGTAAAATAAAATTAAATATGGCGACAGAAACTGAAAATGAAAGAGACAGAGACAGATAGACATTACATTTTCACCGTATAAAAGCAAAGGCCATACAAGCACAGAACCCTGTTTTTGCCTCTCCTCCAACGAAGTTGCTCAAAGGGGACGGGTTTTCAGATTTTCTCCGAAATATTCCTATTTGCTTGCCCGGAACCATCAATTTCTATCTCAGTTATGGCCAGAAACGGCGCCGGATCGTGGCGACGGAGGTCCGACAGGGTCGACGGCGGTTTTCAAGCCTCGCCGTCTGATTCCGAGGAGGTTCATGTTTTGGCCGTTGATGACAGCCTCGTTGATCGTAAGGTCATTGAGAGGTTACTTAAAACCTCTTCTTGTAAAGGTTTGTTTCTTTTTATTCTGGGTGGAAACTTTTTTCTTTTAATTTCAAATTTTTGAAGGGAGTTTGGTTGGATTCTGCAGTGACTGCCGTCGATAGTGGAAGAAGTGCTCTGCAATTCTTGGGATTAGATGAAGAGAAGGCCAGTACTGGTTTTGATGTGAGTATAAAATTTATTGATTATGGAGATAAAGAAGCTGAATCTCCATGGTGAATAGTAATCGAGTGTTCATCTGCTTAAATTTTTTAGCTCTACTTGGTTTTAGGGTTTGAAGGTTGATCTCATCATCACTGATTATTGTATGCCTGGAATGACTGGTTACGAACTGCTGAAGAAAATTAAGGTCAGATTCTTTTTCATTTCATGATTTATGTATCTGCAATCCAAAAATGGAAATTGAATTTCATTGTTGTGGAACAGGAATCGTCCACTTTTAGAGAAATACCAGTTGTAATTATGTCATCTGAGAACATTTTGGCTCGAATCGACAGGTAATTTTTAATATATATAAAAAGATTAACTCATCTCGAAATTGAATTCCAATATTTTCTTCTTTTAGATTCATTTTTAAAGTTGGAGTTAATTAAGATGTGTTTTTGGTAAATCACAGATGCTTGGAAGAAGGTGCCGAAGATTTCATAGTGAAGCCGGTGAAATTATCAGACGTGAAACGTTTGAAAGATTACATGATGAAGGAAGTGAGAGTTGGAAACAGGAACAAAAGGAAGTTAAGGGAGAGTTGCGATTTCTCTTCATCTCCACCCTCCATCTTATCATCACCATCATCATCATCATCTTCATCTTCACCGTCGCCGTCACCATCATCACCGTCAATTCTATCATCATCGGCACCGTGTTTCCCATCACCGTTGGATTCTCCTACCAGACGACTCAGAATGACCACATCTGAGTAGAGCCCAAAAAAGAAAACTTTTCAGTCGTTGCAATTATCCGTCAGTAACGGTTTTTTGTTGCATATCGACTCAAAATCCCCCGTTCCCCCACTTTTACCCTCCACTTTTTTTTTTTTTTTTTTTGGTCATCCGTTTATATTGTTTATTAAATGTGGCAATATGAGTTACATATTCCAAATTAATTAACTTGTGAAATCAATAATCTAATCTAATCTATTTTTAATGGGTAGTGAAAATTTGAAATGGGAAATTTGATTATGTTGCGGTGGTGGTGGAGGGAATATTTGGGAACGGGATAATGATGATGATAGAAAAGGGGTAGGGGCATAACATAGGATTATAACCCTTGAGCATTTGTCTCTTTAAACACACACACTGCCACCCTTGCATTTTTGGTCTTCTGTCCTCACCTTCACTCACTCCTATGTTCCCAACTTCGTTCCACCCTGCCCTACCTTAATTCCTTGCCAAGTTTCCTCTTTGGATAACTACCAATCCTAACCTATCTTTACTCTTTTCTCTAAGAAAAATAATTTCTCTTTTTCTTTTCTTCAGGTGTTATGTAAATCTTACTTAAATTCACTAATACGTTAAAGGAAAATAACTAATTAATCAAAATCTGTTGATTTAAATTTTACACTAAGTTGATAATCCTAATAAAATTTATGATGTCTTCAATTATTTGAAGTTTTTTTTTTTTTTTTTTTTTTGACATTTTATTGATGGGTGTAAGCATGATTTTAATTTAAGATTGTTAGAGATTTTATGGGTTTGGAACCACATTGTTGTATGGTAAGACTTGATTTACAAATTCAAAATCTTGTAAGCAAAATAAAATAATTTCGGTGGTTAAGCTAAACGATACCCACGATTAATTTATTTTTCAAAAAGAAAATTTCATACTAGAAGGGATTGAATTATTATTTGTATTATTGTTGAATGAATTATAGTTTCAAATTATAAAAATTTAATGACGCATAGATTGATAGATACATGCACCAGTGTCTTAAATGCAGACAGTAGGATCATATCTGAAGATCTTCATTTGTGCTCAATGTGATTGGTCTGCCATGGTCCCTGTACTCCTCCTGTTCTGAGCTGTTCTTCTTTCTTTCTTTTTTTTTTTTTTTTAAATATATATATATATATATATATATATATATATATTCCTTGTGTCTCAACTGAGAGATTTATGCTGTTGTTGTTGTTGTTTTTTTTTTCCTCTTATTTCTCAATCAACATTTGTTGTCGTTGGGACTGTCTGGATACGTTTATAGACCAATGGGCCACTCCCTTGGGCCAAATTAACCCTGAGAAAATACCAACTGGGCCAACCAGCCCAGTACCTATTTAAAACGATATTTTCTTATAACTCACTGAGATTAGTGTATTAATATTTTTGTATTATAATATTTAGATAAGTTTTAAATTTTTTATTGTAAACATAAAGTTAATAATTGAATATTAGATAAGTACGGCATGCATGTATTATTATGAAATATTATAGTAAATATAACTTTGTTATATTCTTGGGAAAATGATCAGTAACCGTGAAGTTTTTTTTTCATGTTATTTGAAGTTAATTATCATCTTGTGGATACATTGACAGGATTTGGACAGTTTAGCTAGGATAATATATATATATATATATATATATATATATATATATATATATGATAGGTTATAATTACTAGCAATTAGCTCCATCCAGTTCAGCTGAAAATGACTTGGGGTATTTTTTAAGCTTTTTTTTTTTTTTTCCTTTCTTTTTTAAGGTCAGATTTAAATATTTTGTTATTTTTATTTTTCTCTCCATCTTATTTTGAATTTTACGTAATATATTTAAACAAATATATTTTTTTTGGGGGGTCTAATTCAACAAGGTAAATGAATAAATTATCCTCCTATATTATTAATAAAATAATTGTTATCAATATAAAGATGTATAATCTGAGGATTACTACTATATTATTGAGTGTTATTTTAAATTCAAATTTCGTGGTTTTTTACTTATTTAATGATTCATAATATTTATTTAATTTTAAATATTTACATATAGTGTTTAAAAATTTATGTAAGTGCAAATATTCTATAAATTTTTAATATATTTTAAGATGACAGAGAATCATACTACAAATATTAAATATCGAAATAGATTGTCAAAAATAAAACAATAAAAGAAAAATTATATTTTGTTCTGAAATGAAAATGCATTTTTTTTTTTAATAACGAAAAGTCCTTTTAAATATTTTTTAAAATATTTTAATAGCTATATATATATATAGTGTAAATCTCATTAATTTAATAGGAATTCTCAGTAGGTAGGCAGTGTGGAAATAACGAAATGAAGTGACGCGTTTTCTTATTTTCATATATTCATATTTTTACAGTTTTTAAATTTCCTAGAAATATAATGTGGGCCCACAAACAAACAGAGTCTTTGATTGATTTTGTCAATGATCAGCGGTTTACCGCCAATCACGATGCGGTTCGCAGCCTGTTTGGATTCCCGAATATAAATATCCTCTTCGGTTCTTAATAAAAGTGTTTTCCCTGTTTGGTAACTACGTTTCTTTTTCTCATCCTTTATAGCAAATAAGTAACTGCTTTGACTTGTTGCCATTCACAGCATTTTTCGAGGTCAACTCCGATGAATTTTTATTTATTTATTTATTTCTGAAAAAGAAAGTTTGTAAAAGTTTCTTCATGCGTAGATACAATGTGAGTCCTTTTACTTTCCTTCAAAATCAGATGATTGAGACTAAACCGGATCCGAACTAGCCTATATATAAATAGCAAACCTTAAATTATACAAGGTTCTGTTCAATCTGGTTTGGATCATTTTTTTTTTTTTTTTTTAAAGTTAGATCACAATTCAAACCGAATAAAATGTAGGTTAAAATTGTGTTAGGATTAAACTGATATATATCAAAATTTTCAGTATAAAAATATGAGATCAAAAAATATATCATACCTAATTCCATCTAAATAAGATAGTCAGTCAATTCTAATTCAATTTTTTCAATTCATATTGGATTGTTCACAACTTTAATTAATAGGTTCAACATAGTTTGATGGAGTATAATTAAATGTTTGAATTTGAAAAAACATTTAAAATTTTACACATGTTTGAACCAAAAAAAAAAACTTTATTATTTTTTGATGATTAACTTATTTTTGTTAGTTTAAAATTATATTTATTTATTGTGAAAATATATATTTTAATAAAAACGGTTATAACTCAAATTCACAATTTTATACATAGAAATGAAAAGACTCTTTATCTTCTCAAATATTAGATTTCATCTTTATGCTCGACAGTTTTCTTCTCCTTGGCATGTAAATTTTAAAAATTCTAATATTTTAAATAAAATTATTCTATCTGAATATGATTTAAAACTACTTTGACACATATATATATATATATATATATTCATAAATTTGAAAAATAAATAAATCCAGAAAAAACGTGCATCGAATGTAGAGCCCCAAGTGATTCAATACATGAAATAGAGGCTGAGAAATATAAGTCAACCCACCCATTAAAATTGATTAGTTTGACCGGGACCCGAACCTCCCCAACAACCCAAGAAAATAGGCAGGCCAACGCAATCTATTAAAACGCAAAAGCATTACACGTGAAACGCTTGTCTCTGACTTTGGTTTTTAGGAGGCCCACCCTGAGTAGTTGTGATTTTATTTTATTTTTTGCAGATAAATATTTTATTTGTAGTTGTTTTGTTTGCACCAACGACTGCATTTTACATAGATTAAGTCAATCTATTTACATCACCCTAAATACTCTCATTTTATTATTAAAAACAAATTGGGTGAGCCACTCAGTTCTTTTTCCGTACATATATATATATATATATATATATACATCTTACAAATTGCATAATTGATGAGTAATTTATTTGTTAAGATTAATATGATTATATTTAGGGTCAATTCTTTATTATATTGAAATATATTTAATGTAATTTAAAATAATTATTTTAACTTTTACAACATTCTTTTAATGTTATTATTACGTCAATAAATTATATCATGTACTAAATAAATTTCTCTAAAATAATTAACTCTTTTTTATTATTAACCTCGATATTACATAAGTTGGAGTGATCAAAAACCCATTTAAATTATTAATTAAATTTTTATAAAAATTTAAAATATAACACAATATTTGCTTAGTTATCTAAATACACTAATACCAAATTAAGAATAAATTATAGATTGAATAATTAACTTAACGAAACTTGTATTATCATGTTGAATTAGAAGTTACGATCTTCAATCCAAATAAAAATTAATTTTTTTTTTTTTTACTGTATAGTTGTTTTCCATAATTTCGTTAATTGTTTATTAATTGGTTATATAGAAAGAGTAAAATCAAGAGGGCAAAACCCTTCAAAATTGCAAATGATTAGATGAAGATGTTGACATGATCCTAATTATGTATATTTTTTTTTAATCCTTAATTACGTGTTATAACACAAAGAGATTAGTGCATGGGTTTCATTTCCAAAAATTCACATTCACATTCACATTCACATTCACATCACCACCCACCCAATAAAACTATGTGAAAAGCGTACGTATTCTACGTTTTAATTTTGGGTAAGAATATTTTTGGTCCATCTTTCATTAATATTTTTTAATATTATATTATTTAACATTTAAAATTAAAATATTAATGTAAAAATAATATATTAATCTTTATAGAATGTATATCAATTTAATCTTTGGTCTTAAAATTTCTTTTCCAATTTAATTTCGGTCTGATATGATATGATGCTCGCCCCTAAATCAATAATTGATATTTAAATTGTAAACTTAGTTACATGTTTTGATGAGATGACATCAAAACCCAAATTCCAAATTCGTTAATTTCAAAAAACATCCCTCAATTGCAGATTTTGACCTGCACTTTTAAGCCTAGGGTTGTTTTGGTCAGGGGAGGAAA